GGTTTCAGTAATAACTGTAACAAAAATGCAAGCTTTTTTTTTTTTTTTTTTGATAAGAGCTGTTCCTCTGGAAATTATTTGAATTTTGGTTTGGAATTTCAGTTTTCCTGAATAGTAAGATATCTTACTGCATAAGAAACAGTTCACAGAAAGGAAAAGGTAGTAGCTTTTTAAACCAATGTATGATAGCCAACTTTCTGACTCTTTTTTTGCCCCTCAGCATCATAGTTAGTAACCTTTGGTATGGCCATCTGTCCTATCCCCAAAATGTTCTGAATTTTGCTTAGAACAGATGTGTCCTTTGATATAGGAGAACTTATTTTGTAGCATTCATGCCAGGAATATGTGAAGAAATAATAAAGAATAGAAGACTCTGAAAATGTAAATACTGTGTATGTTTTAGCCATTGAATAACTAAAGTAACAGATTGTCTACTGTAGACAAAAAAATCCTAGAATAATTGTAGTAGTCACATTATTAACAAAAGTGCTGAAGTCTGCCAAAAAGTACCATTTCAGTCCAAGGCAAACCTTTTTGTATTATGGTGATCCAAGGCTATGGATCCTCATGATGTATAAAATCTGTTACCCTTTATCATCCTTTACTTTGAATATTGATCAGGAATTGCAGTGAAACAGAAGCAACAGAGCCAGGGGAAGACAGCAAATTTTATGCCATGGGCAACGGGGAAATGCCTATAGAGGAGAAAGTGGAATTCATCTTTTCAGTTCCTAGCTCCACCTAGAAAAACAAACCAGCATCATCTTCACTGCTTTTTCTCTGACCATATGCCACGCACTTTCCATTCCCTTCTTCTTTCCTGCAGCTTTTATAACAACTCTTCTCCCAAGCGTAACTGTTGATATATGGATTGGCCTCCATGATTCCAAGAAAGAATTTCTCTGGATAGAACCTGAAGCTGTCAAGTATGTGAACTGGGCCCCTGGGGAGCCATCTGGATATGGAACATCCATTGCTAGTGATCAGCCGGTGAGCTGAACCTCTACTGCTGATTGCATAATCAGGGTTCTGGATTAAGTGAAGCATTGGAAACATATTCAGTCAAACAGGATTACAATTTCTGTTTAGACTTCCCTGCCCAACACTGGAGAAGGCAAGGCTGATATGTGCTGCCTTGTGTCTCCCTAGGATGCAGCTTTTGAATCCTGGAAGTGGGTGGTTGTGCATGAAAGTGGCCTTTGGTGTGTTTGCATCAACAAGTGCAAGCAGTTTCTCTTCAAGCATTTGGCGTAATTTTCTGAGAACATTTTGCTCCTCCCTCTAAATAAATATATAATAAAAGATTTTTTTTGTTTTAGGTGATCTTTTAAAAAATACTACAATTTGCAATTAGAATTAAAACCAGATTATATCTAAGCCAGCATTCTGTTCCTTACAGTTTAACCAGCTACCTGTTTTTTCAAAGGATGTTACTGGCATATCTTGCAATAATGAGTTTCAAAGGGGAATCAGGTGACTGTGTTAACATATTGTGTGTACTAAGCTGTTATGTTTATCCACAATATGATTTATTTGTTCAGGCATAACAAGTTATGTGAAAACCACAACCTGGTTTAGTGTTCAGTGTGTTGTGTGAACCCTGCCTTTGTGTCTCTCTGGAATCCATTGCAGGTATTCTGCATTGCCTACAAACTTGTAACAGTTGCCAAGAGCAGTTTCGTATGTGATATATTGCAACCCATAGTCACAAGACAAGAATGAGACAACCCAGTGTGGACGCACTCAGACAATTCTAGATGTTGTTTTGTAGCTACCTTCTCATTTGATTGCAGGTGTATGACTCTGACTTTTCTGGTTCTGCTTCTTAGACCAACTGTGTTGTGATGTGGCACGGGCTCCCTTCCCTGTTTACTGGCCGCTGGGATGACAGGAACTGCTTAGAGGAGAAACATATTTTCATCTGCCAGAGAAGCAAAGGTAAGAGTTAGGAATAATGCAGGAAAAGTAAGCTTGGCTTACTATCCATTGTGTTTAGCAGAGAGGGCTTGGGATAATTTTGATTCCTTGTGCCAAGGATGATGGCATTCACCTCTGTTGTACACTTGGGGGTGGGGAGAAGAATCACATTAGTCTGTGCCAACAAAGCAGACACCTTCAAGACAGGCCAGCTTTTTCGAGGCATAAGATTTCATGGGCAGCAGCTGTCTTCATCAGATACATGCATGTTCATGAAAGCTGCTGCTCCTCATCACAGCGTATGCCCCAGTAAAGTTATTAGTCTTAAAAGTGCTGCCAGACTCTAAGTTGTTGTGTTGTCAAAGCTAGTTAGTCTTGAAGATGCTGTTTTGGTGAGCACTTATTCAGGATGCTATGGCCCTTGGTATACATGTATATGATCCAGGGGTTCTATCCACTTTTCCTTACCCCAGCTGATAGGGAACAGATTTCTCTTTCCTTATTTATATTAACAATGGGAAAACAGTCTTTAACAGGATCAGAAGGAGAGTGGAGAGATTAACATTCTTCTCTCCTTCACCTCATCCGCCTGACCAGTAATCCTGATCAGAACTACATAGAGGAAGAGTGAGGTTTTCTGACTGCAGAATAGAGTATAAATGTGTTAAATGAGAGAATATAATAATATCTATCAATATATCTTGGTTCCTCCCACCAACCTTATGCAGCCATCAGTGGCTTCCAGGGAGAACTAAAGTTCTATTTCACAGAAATGGTAAGAAAGTAACACAAAAATAGCCACTGTTTTTAGTGAAATGGAATAAAACACTACTTGGTATTCAGCAAATTGCTACTAATTTTTGAATGAAACCAATATTGCTTTGTTAATGGCTGTAGGGTGGATTTGTAAGGCATGGCTAAGCTTTGATTTTCTTTCTCTCAAATTCTTCCTCCACACCCAAGACCCTACTCTAAATCCTTCTTCAACATCCTTCTCCCCTGTTCCCAACTCTACGCTTTCATATCTTAACAACACTTACCGTGTCCTGACGAAGCCACTCAAATGGCAGGAAGCTGTGTTGCTATGTCAGAGTCTCAATGGAAGCCTAGCAGATGTGATGGAGCCATACACCCAGGCCTTCCTCACTCAGACAGTCAGCAGCTTACATACCCCACTGTGGATTGGCTTGTCCAGTGAAGAGGTGAGTCAACTATGCTTAGAAGCTATAGCAAGTAAATCAGGCCTGCCCTTCATATAGTAAGATGCAAAAAAATAGAAGCATATCTTGGGGTCTGACATTGTCTGAGTTCATGTGTTGGGTAAATCATTGTTCTGGAATAGCAAATGGTGAAGCTGTAAAGAAGGAGCGAATGCTGTTTGGTTTGCATTTCCAAAGCCTCCTATGGAGAACCGCTGCCAGTGTGACTCTGGTGTATGGGAGGATCATTCTATACATCCACAATGTTTCATAATTATATATATCTGCCATCATGCCTGTTTATGTGCCTCCTTCAGATAGCTACATTGATTAGTCCAGTGTGGCAAAACTTTATATGTACTGACTTCTTTTAGGGGAGACGTAACTACGTATGGTTTACAGATGAGAGCATCTCTTACACAAACTGGCAGGATGGAGAGCCACAACAAATTGTGGGGTGTGCATACATGGATATAGATGGGACATGGCGAACTGCCACTTGCAACACAAAGCTTCAAGGGGCCATCTGCAAGCTGAGCACAGGTATCGTATCTGTATGGCAGCTCCACAGATACAGGAGGGAATGCTGAAATAAAGAATCTCTTCTCCCATCCCCTGAATTTTAATGAAGGGCTCAGGGAAAAAAATATTATTTTGGAATTTGTTTTTAACTATTAAAATGATTAACTATTAAAAATAGTGTAAATATTTGCTAACTTTCTTCTAACCGAGTATTCTGCTTCAGGACCCCTTTCTTCACACAAGTGGAGCTACAACGGAAGCTGTCCTAAAACAGTAGAGGATTCCTCTTGGCTTCCTTTCCGAAACAATTGTTATGCTTTCCACATGGAAGTTATGTTAGGTCAGAAGGAAGCTGTGAAGAGATGCCAGAAAGGTAAAGCTTACTAGAATTAATTGATTCTTATTTGTGGTTTTCTTAGACTATTATTTGTTGGAAGTGCTGCATATATTTAGAGCATTGGAGGTCCAAGTCCAGTGGTGCTGTCTTTTCATGATCTCCTGACCCCAAGGAAGCAGTAGGGTATAGATGAGGATCCATACTGTGTCCCCTCTTTTTCACTCTGCCTGCTTTATATCTAAGAGACTGGTTAGGTGACATTTTTCTATCTTTTGTTCCCAGGCACTATGCATGACCACATGCTGTTAGACTCTCCTCCTGGTAGGATGTGATTAGCTAGATGCTAGGCTTTGCCTGTCTCTATAATGTATTTTCTGTAAAATCTAAAAAAAACTAAATCTTCTTTCCGTTATAGTTATAATACCTGCTTCACTAATCATTGCTCAGGTCAGATTCCTGCTCTCAGGAATGCTCACATGCATACAGAGAATAACCTCCAACACAGAAAAGTTCAGATTAAAAAAAAAAAAAATTAATACTGGTCCATTTTAACATGCCCATAATGTTTGATGCAAGCTGTTTCCAGAATGTTTATCTCTTACATAAACTTAGAAATTCCACCAAGCCTTGCAAAACAATGATTCACTACTTTGGCTTGTCATACAAAGGATTTTATCAGACACTTTTTCAAGTAAAGCTATAGACCAGATCTTATTCCATCTATCCACTGAAATATTGTCCAGATATTTCCATTGTTTAGCAATGACTAATTTGGCTGCTATAAGCAAAACTGAATGACTTTTTTACTTTGCTATTTCTTATTCTGGCCATCAAAGATGTCTAGCAAATCTAGCTTTGGTGAGAATTTTTTTGTGTAAGACTTTTTTTAAACACATTCTTCCAAAATTCCAATATTTTATTGCATTCTCACCAAAGATAAAAGAATGTTCCCTTTGATTGGCAGCCTTCCAAGTATCTCACTGAATATTGAGAAGATATATGCAAGATTTTTATTGGTGTTTGATGTCATCAATGTAAAGGTTTAAGATGGATGCTGATAAAAATCCTTGATGCTATATAGAGACTGCCAAATGTTATTGCTAATTGTTTCTACTAAGTCTAAGTCCCAGGTTCATTTTATGCCTGGGGTAAATTCACCATAATCTATTTCAAAATCTAATAAATCTTTGAAATTATACCATTAGGTTCTGTGAATCATTTTTTCAAAAAATTAATAGATGTCTATTTGCAATTCCCATCTCTTTTTTGTCTTGTAATATTGACCTGACACCAAAGAAACCATGAGACTTTGTGTTCTAATTGTTATTTCACTTTTTTGAAATTATGTTTGGAGTTTTTGTTCAAATATTTTATTCTATAAAACCCTTTTTCTTTTTCTTTTCTTTTTTTGTGTAATTTTATTAAAGATTTTTTAAAAAGAAGATAAAATTAATAGAAATTAATATAAAGTAAGAAAAAGAAAAGAAAAAAATCAGAACGCTAAAGGTGCAAGAAAGGGAAAAAAATTAAAAGAAAAATAGAAAAGAAAGAAAAAAAGATACAAGAAATAACTTCCAATCTTTTTTACAGCAGTTATAAGTACAATTATAAATTTACCTCTTATTCTATGGTTACAACATAATTCTCTTCTTTCCATAATCCTGTAAAATCATCCTGTAAAATCATCAAACCCATAAATCATTAGTTCATTTTTTTCTGTTTTATACAAAAAGTCT